CTATTTTTATCCACAGTTAAATGCCTAGGTCATTGTTCTTACCCTCAGAGACATTTCACAGGCATTGCCAAAGGGTGTCATATCTCTACTAGGTTGTTCTCCAGACTCACACATCACAAATAAATTCATGCACGCATGGAACACGAAGCTCGTCTTCTAAGAACATCACCTTTGAGATCATGGTTGTTACACAGACGAGGCCATAAGAACTGATGAATTTATTTTAAACATCCAAACATGCACTTAACCGAGCTGTGGACAAAAACCTAACCAGTAAATAACCAGGAAAGCTGCTGTCCTTGTGTGACATTTCACTTACTTCATTAACCCAGCACGGGAAACCAAATCACTGACCGCACTTGTTCTAATTCTTCCAGGGAGACTGAAAATAGGTGCAGACGTGTGCACGGTTGCAAAGTGAAAGTCAGTAAGAAAAGGAACTGAAGGTTCTGATGTAGCCCTTCCAGGAGATAGAAGGGCTGAGTTACCTGCTGGAGGTCTTTTACAACATCTATCTAAACATGACAAAGTCACCATGTCTTATCTTGCTAGGTACAGTATATAATAAGACTTGGTGTTATGCATTAAATTGTGTCCTGAAAAATATGTATTGAAATCTTGGCCCCTATGGCACAAATGGAAACCCTGGTGGCGTAGTGGTTAAGTGCTACAGCTGCCAAACAAAAGGGTGGCAGTTCGAATCCACCAGATGCTCCTTGGAAACTGTATGAGGTAGTTCTACTCTGTCCTAGAGGGTCGCTTGGGGTCAGAATCGACTGGATGGCAACGGGTATGGGTATGGTGAAAACGGTTGACATGCTTGGCTGCTATCCAGAAGCTTAGGGGTTCAAGTCCACTCAGAGGCACCTCAGAAGAAAGGCCTGGTGATCTACTCCAAAATATCTGCCATGGAAAACCCTATGAGCACAGTTCTACTATGACACACATGGGGTCACCATGAGTCAATTGGTTTTTATACTTGCAAATAGGATCTTGCTGGGAAATAGGGTTTTCTTTGTTTCAGGGTGGGTTCTAAACCTCATCACTTCTGAGTTATTAAAAGAGCAGATGAGACACAGAGACACATACAGGGGAAGAGGAAGACAGACAACAGACAGACGCATCCACAAGCCCAGGAACACCACAGACTCCGCAGCTGCTAGAAGCTGAAATGAAGGAAGGACCTTCCCCCAGAGTCACGCTCTGAATTCAGACTTCTCGCCTGCTGAGCTGTGAGAAACAAATTTCTGTCCTTCAGAGCCTCCCACTTGTGGTATCATGTTAGGGAAGCACTAGGAGCCTAAGACACTTATTCTTTATTTTATTTTATGTTTTGATTTTAAATATTGTAGTTGTCTCTCTCTATCTCCCTTGTTTTCAATACCGGAGT